TTTTGATTTGCATCTCTCTTAGAGCTAGGGATTTTGAACATTTCTTCATGTGCTTGTTAGCCATCTGAATGTCGTCTTCGGTAAAGTGGACAGTATTTCTACATATGAAGCCATATATGCTATAACTAGATCCACAAACAGCAGAGAAAACAGTGGGAAAAGTTATGAAAACGTCTTAGCCAAAACCAAACATTCTGAGGAATGTTTCACTGAGTGTGAGAGCTCTAGATCCTATAGTCTGGGCTATAAAGGTTAACCGGTGGATCACAGTCCATAAAGTCAATATTCTGCATCTTGCTTTGGTGAGTAGGGACTAGGGTCTTAAAAGATCCTGTGAACTGCCATTGAAGGTAAAACTACTGGTGTTTTTCCAACCAGAGTACAAAGAGCAGAGAAAATAAAAGACTATTATTCCCAAGACTAGGCTAAGTCATTGCAATTACTTGCTGTGCATCAGAGAGCTGGACAATGACTAGGGATGACAGAAAGGGAATTGATGCCTTTGAACTGTGATGCTTGAGAAGAGTATTGAACATACCATGGACTGCTGAGAGAACAAAGGGGTTCACCCAAGACAGGGTGAAACCAGGCTGCTCTTTGAGGCAAGGATTCTGAAGCTCCATCTCACCTACTCCGGACATGTTGCAAGGAGGGTGAAGGACAGTTCAAGAGAGGAAGACCCTCGATGAGACGGATTGATTCAGTGACTGGGGTAATTAGAGTAGGTGTGTCAGACACAGTAAGATTGGCACAGGATAGAGCAGGGTTTAGGGTTGTTGTACATAGGGTCGATGAGTCACAGCCAACTCGATGGCACATAACAACAAAACCATTCCTGCTCTTTGCCACATTAACTGTGAGAATGAGGACCATTCTCAGCAACCAGAATGTTGACTTTACAAAGAATGACTTTACTCTGAAGGGTTGCAGTCACTGTGAAAGGCCTGTGGGGAACCTTGCAGAGGGACTTCAATCACATCAATGTAGAGCTCAGTCTCCTCGCAAAAAAGAGACTTCATGTTGACAAATGGTGGGGAAACAGGAAGGAACTGGCTACTGTTCGCACCATCTGTAGCCATGTACAGAACATGATCAAGCATGTTAACACTGGGTTCCCGTTACAAGATGAAATCTGTGTATGCTCATTTCCCCATCAATGTTGTGATTCAAGAGAGTGGATCTCTGGTTGAAATTCAAAACTTCTTGGGTGAAAAATACATTTGAGAGTTTGAATGAGACCAGGTGTTGCTTGTTCAGTATCTCAAGCCCAGAAAGATGAGTTAATTCTTGAAGGAAATGACATTGAGCTTGTATCAAATTCAGCTGCACTGATTCAGCAAGTTACAACAGTTAAAAACAAGGGTATCAGAAAATTTTGGCTGGTATCTGTCTCCAAAAAAGGAACTGTTCAGCAGGCTGAAGAGTGATAGCTAGGAGTTTTCCAGCTACAGAAATGAGGCCAGACAAGTCCTATACAACTACTTTCAAAATGCATCTGATTCTTGTAATAAAATTCTATTAAATTGAAAAAAACCCCAAAAAAACATTGCCAAAGACTAATGGACCTGAAGAACTAGACAATGCCTCGCTACCACTACTAGCTGCTCTCAATGTATGCAGGAGCCCACTGAGTGAAAGAACTGTGGGATAAGAATCAAAATAATAAAAAAAACCCCACAACCCACATATAAGGTCTGACTGAAACTGGTGGAATTCCTGAGACTATGACCCTTTTTTCCATAATACTTTGCTTTGTCTTATCGTGCTTTTTAAATCTGTTCAGCTTTGTAACTTCTTGATTTCTTCCTTTTGCTTTGGCTTCTTGGCATTGTAGTGCAATGTTCAGAGTCTCCTCTGACATCTGTCTTGGTCTGTTCTTTCTCCTCTGTAATGACTTTTCACATTCTTCATGATTGAAATTCTTGATATCCTCCCACAGCTCATCTGGTCTTCTTTCATTTGTGCTCAAAGCTTCAAACCTGTTTGTGAGATGGTCTGTAAATTCTGGAGGGATAGACTTGAGGTCAAACATTGGTTCTTGTGGATTTTATTTTCTTTCGCTTCAGTTTGCACTTGTATATGAATAGTTGATGGTCTGATCCATAATCAGTACCTGATCTAGTTTACACAGCTGATACTCCAGCAATTGTCCAGCAATTTCTTCCTCAGATGTAGTTATTCTGATTCCTGTGTAGACCATCATGTGAAGACTATGTGTATCGTTACCGTATATGTTTCTTATGGAAGGTTTTGCAATGAATAGGTCACTGATTCTGTTTCCAGACTCATTTATGTCACCAAGTCCATGCTTTCCGACTACTGACACGAATTTGCTCAGCATTTCTTAAGCTGAAGAAAGTGAAGAGCAAAGTCAAACCTCGAGTTGTAATACTTAAGAATGCTGAAGGCAGAATGCTGAGTGATCCAGGAAGCATCAAAAGAAAATAGGAGGGGTACACAGAGGCACTATACCAAAATTAATTGACTGACACAGAAGAATTCCATGAAACAACATATGATAAAGAACCAATGATGAATTTCAAGCTGCTATGAAGGAATTGGCAAAAAACAAGGCCCCAGGAACTGACTGAATACCAACTGACATATTTCAGCAAACAGATGCTTCTCTGGACAGACACATCTCTGGGTTATCCCAAGAAACCTAGAGAACAAGCACCTGGTCAACTGGCTGGAAGAGATCTTTATTTATCCATTCCAAAAAAAGGTGATCCAGTAAGAGTTTGGAAATTATTGAACAATATTATTAGTATCACATGCAAAAAAATCCTGAAGATTATCCAGAAAGGATAGGAGAGTAGTACATCAGCAGAAAATTGCCAGATGTTCAGGCTGGGTTTAGAAGAGGCCATTGCACTAGGGAAATCACAATCACATTATGGATCTTGACTGAAAACAGACAAAACCAGAGGAATGCCTTTCAATGCTTCATTGACTATGCATACAGGCATTTGACTGGGTGGATCACAACAAACTGTAGCTAACTTTGAGAAGAATGGGGATTCCAGAACACTTAATTGTGCTCATGTGAAAAACTATACTTAGACCAGGAAGCAGTAGTCAGAACAGAGCAGCGAAACACTTCATGGTTCAGGATCAGGAAAGGTGTGCTTCAGGGATACATTCTATCTGCATACCTTTTCAACCTATATGCAGAACAGATTATGTGGGATGCTGGACTTTATGAAGAGGAATGTGGCATCAGGTTTGGAGGAAGACTCATCAACCTGCGTTATACAGATGACACAACCTTGCTTGTTGAAACTGAAGAGGATATGAGGTATTTGCTGCGGCAGATCAAGGACTGTAGTCTTCAATAGAGACTAAAGCGTAATATAAAAAAACAAAGATTCTCACCACTGGGCCAATTAGCAGCTTCATGATAGGCAGAGAAAAGATTATTAACAATTTCAGCTTTCTTGGCTCCACAATCAACACTCCCGGCGCCAGCAGTCAGGAAATCAAAAGATGAACTGCATCAGGAAAGTGTGCTGTCAGGGACCACTTGAGGGTGCTGAAGAGAGACAATGTCAGTCTGCAGACTAAGGTGCACCTGATCCAGGCCATGATCTTCACAATTACTTTGCTATGCATCCGAGAGCTGGACAATGACTAAGGATGACAGAAGGAAGACTGATGCCTTTGAATTGTGGTGCCAGAGAAGAGTGTTAAACATACTGTGGACTGCCAGAACAAACAGGTCTGTTCTGGAGAGGGTGAAACCAGGCTGCTACCTGAAGGGAAGGATTTTGAGGCTCCATCTCACATACTTTGGGCACATGACCAGGAGGGACCAGTCTTTGGAGAGGGACATCATGCTTGGTAGGATGGAGGGGCAGTGCAAGAGAGGAAGACCCAAGATGAGATGGATTGACTCAGTGACTGGAGAAGTGGGATTGGGTCAGTCTGAGACAATGGGATTGGCTCATGGTAGAGCAGGGTTCAGAACTGTTGTACACAGAGTCACTATGAGTTACAAGTGACTCGATGGTACATAACGACAACACAACAACATGGCCCTTAGTCACCCTTTAAGTCTAGAAATTAAATCACCCTCTGGTTAACTTTCAGTCAACAAAAGACAGGCTTATAAGGTTATCAATAGCATCTTAGAAAATAAACTGTAAATTTAAAAGGACAACATTTTTTAGGGATAAAGTTCAGAAGGTAGGAAAGGATAGGATAGAAAGAAAAACACCAAGAGAAAACAGTGTGGAAGTGGGAAATGCACTCTTAACTCTGTTGGGACTGCAATCAATGTCTTGAAATAATATGTGTACAAAGTACTGAATGGAAAATAAATATGCTTTGTAAACTTTCACTCAAATCACAATAAACAAATAAAGACAACGAAGTTGTTGGGCATAAGTAATAAATATTTCATCCTTACCTCCTCTAGAGAAGATTCCAAATTCATTCCAAAAGCAACTCCCACTAATCCAAACAGTGAAAGAGAGAAGGTTCCCATGGTCAACTGTAGGTTTAGCCTCATCATCACATTACGGTGGCTGGTGAGAAAAAGATCTTAGTCTGATCAGAAGGCCCATTAATAACTATATACCACAAACTGGTGACATAACCTACTAAAGATCATACACCAAATTCATAACATTGTTTTTTAAGGACATATTCCATGCAGCAGTTTTAGATAATGATTATTTAATTCTCTTCTAATTTTAGTTCTTCATAGTCTTTATTATTTTATAATCATTATTTTATAAGGAAAATAATATTGCTGTTATTGGGCACCACTGAGCTGACTACAAGTCATAGTGACCCAATGTACAACAGATGTGAAACTTGTCCTTTCACCGTGCATATAATCTCTGATATGCTCTAGCCCATTCTTATAGTCACTATGTCAATCCATCTTGTTGGGGGTCTTCCTCTTTGTCTTTGACACGCTGCCTTTCCCAGCATGATGTCCTCTTCTAGGGAACTGTCCCTCTTAGCAACATGCCCAAAGTATGTGAGATGAAGTTTCGGTTCACCATCTTGACCTCTGAGAAGCACCCTCGTTGTACTTCCTCCAAGGCAGACTTGTCAGTCTAGGAAATATTCAATACTCTCCTCCAACACTACAAATCAAAAGCATCCATTTTTGTCATTTTTATTTGTGGTCCAGTTTTCAGATGCAAAGAAAGTAACTGAAAAGAACATGACTTGGATGAGGTGCCCCTTCAGTCTTTACTCTGACATCACTGCTCTTTAGAACTTTGGAGAGGTCCCTGACAGCAGATTTTCCCAATGCAACATGTCTATTGATTTTTTGACTGCTGGTAAGAAGGATATTGATTGTGGCTGAAAGTAAGATGATATAGTTCACAACTTAATCTTTTCACCAACTATCAAAGAGAGCATGGTGCTGTGTGTGCGGGTCTTGTGGCAGTTTTCAGACATGAAGGACAGAGTGGGGTCAAGCTCCCCGATTAAAACAAGTTTGGAAGCAGGAGTGGCATCCACTTCCATAATAGCTTGCCTCCGGAAACCCGATGAACCTGGAGAGAGGATGAAAGCCATCCAAGCGTCGAGGACTCTCCTTCATAAGGTCGCTATGAGTTGCCTGCGACTCGACAGCACTTAACAACAACAACATCATGAAGTTGCCACTGGTCTAATGGTGAGGATTTTTCTTTTTTGATGTTGAAATGTAATCAGTACAGCAGACTGTAGTCTTTGATCATCTGCAGCAAGTGTTTCAAGGCCTCATCACTTCCAGTGAGGAAGGGTGTGACATTTGTATAATGCAGGTTGTTGATGAGTCTTCCTCGATTCCTTACACCATATTCTTCTTCAAATAGTCCATTGCTATCACATGCAAGTAAAATCTTGCTGAAAATCATCCAAAACCAGTTAGCACAGTACATTAACAGAGAACTACCAGAAGGTCAATCTGAATTTAGAATAGGCCATGACACCAGGAATATCCCTGCTGATGTCAGTTATATCTTGGCTGAAAGCAAAGAATACTAGAAAAATGTCTATTTGTGTTTTAATGATTATGAAAAGTATTTGACTCTGTGGATCATAACACATTATGACTAACATTGTCAATGGGAACCACAGAACACATAATTGTGTTCATGCGAAAATAACACCAAGACCAAGCAGCTCTTGCTGAACAGAAACATGGACACTGCAAAGACTAAAATCAGGAAAGGTATGCATCAGGGTTGCATTCTTTTTCCTAAATAGAGAAAATACTTGTTGAGTATTTATGCAGTGTTCTCTTACCTGTCTAGGTTGATGAAAATAATACTTTGTGAATCATCAATTAGTACCCTAAGTTCCCGAGCTGCATTTGAAAGATCTTCAGCTAATCGGTAGTAGTTTTCCAACAGTAACTCCATCTCTTCTGCATGGTCAATCCCAGCACTGCTCTTTTCACTTCAATAAAAACAGGTAACATACTTAGCATGCTTAAAATATGTGCATCATACATTTAGCATTGAAAGAGTTTGTGAAGTAGTATACAATATTTAGCTACCAGTGAAAAAACTAGCCTTTGTTTTTTTTTTATTGTTGTGGCTCAGACCAATTTGTCAGTGCTCTGCCAACTGACCCTATGCTATCCTGAGATGACGAAGGTCACAGACTCGAATTCTTTAAAGGATGTTCCATGGTCCCAATTCAAGAATCAAATGCAAACACAAACTACCCTATGCAGCAAAATCCAGATGTGTGAAAGTCAGTGAATTAGTACAAATTCAAAAGCACCATCAGAAAACCCAAAATTAGGAAATGAACATAAAGAACTATTTCTCTCTCAAGATGTAAATATAATGTCATTTTCAGTTGAGAGAAATGGTTTTGAATGATGTTATCACATAGTTCTTTTTATCACCTTTACTTAAACCACGTACTGAAGAGGAGGAGAATTTCTATCACAGAGCACATTTAGAACTGGATTGGTCTAAACAAAGCAATCAAGAGTTATAAGGTGTTCTTATTTCTATTAGTAAATCTGCTATAACATCAAAAGTTAAATAGTAATTTTAATCTTATTTCCTTATCATAGGCAATCTGTTTTAGATAATACTTAGGAAATGTAAAATTAACTGGCTATGAAATGTATATACATTACAAAGATGTCTGTATTAACTGCTAATACAAGCATAGCTGAGTCTACTGTACTTCACAGATAATGTAATTTTGTTACAAGTAGAAAGCTTATGCCACAGTGTTTTAAGGAAGTCTATCGGTGACACTTTTCCAAAAACATGTGCTCAGCCTGCATCCTTGTGTAATAGAATTAGTGCAAACATAACTTTAATAAGCACTGAGACACCAAAGAATTCAGGTGACTTGCTTTTCTGTGATACCACTTTATTGTGGTCTGGAACTAAACCTACAATACCCTTGAGGCATTCCTGTATTGTTCTACAAAGAGCAAAATCAAAATGCTTTTGTTATTTATCCAATCCTTACTCTAACCCTTTCTATCTCTCCATCATGTGAATTTATCTCCTCTTTAACTGTATGTGTGCCATTTTTTTGTCATACTCTAGAAAAAAAAATCATTGCACGTTT